GGCAATGAGAAAAAACGTGTTAATGCAGTAAATGTAGATAGACTTCCAGAGAAAATATTTACAGTAGGACTTAGTAAAGCTACAGAAAGACTTTCACATAATGTAAATTTAGCACCTTCTGGTGTAAGTGATGATTCTGTAGGCCCAATAAATATTTTGATAGGTAGTGACTATTATGCCTCCTTTGTAAAGGGTATGGTAAAGAAATGTGGTGTCACCCTTTTGAAGACTGCAGGAGGCCATGTAATGTATGGTAGGATTCCTCGTAATAATAATTCATGACTAGAGGAAACTACAAATACCATAACGGTGTGTCATACTCATGAAATCGTACCCCAGTATAATTCTTCCATAGAGGATGGTGTTGAGCCAGTGCATAAATTGTGTGAATTAGACAGCATTGTAGTAAATGTAAATGAAGAAAGTCCAGACGATTCTTTTACTCAGGAGCAATACCTGAGAGATGTAAAATTTGAATCTGGACAATACTGGGTACGACTTCCGTGGAGACTGAACCATCCAGAATTGCCCACTAATTACAGAATGGCATATGGACAGTTAAAGGCTCAGCTCCGCGAACTGAGTAAGACACCAGAATTGTTAACTGCCTATAATGATATAATTGCTGAACAATTAATTAATAAATTTATAGAAGAGGTACCTTCTGAGCATGCCAAAATTTATGGTCACTATTTGCCACATTACGGAGTGAAGAAAGATTCTAAGACCACTCCTTTGAGGATTGTGTTTAATTGTAGTGCCAGGAGTAACAAAAATGTACCTAGTTTAAATGACTGTTTGATGACATGTCCGTCGTTGAGGGAAAAATTAGGAGATATCTTATTAAATTTCAGGATGAAGAATTATGCCTTTACGGCTGACATAAGCAAAGCTTTCCTAAGAGTGGGTTTACAAGAGGCTGACCGGGATTGTACCCGCTTCTTATGGCCTGAGAATCCTAGTGACCCACTTAGCCCTCTGAAAACCTTTCGCTTTAGGAGCGTATTATTTGGTGCTACATCCAGTCCGTTCCTACTTCAAGCAATGATAAATGCACACCTTAAATGTATGGGAAGTCCATTGAGTAAAGTAATGAGCAAACAATTTTATGTGGACAATTTCCTGGGTGTGACATCAGCTGAAGAGGAACTGTTAATGACTTATGGAGAGGCTAATAAAATAATGCAAAGTGCAAATATGCCTCTGAGAGAATGGAATAGTAATTCGTCCAAATTAAAGGACAAAATAAGTAAAGATTTCCCTGGAGATGAAGTGCCAAAATGTAGTAATGTATTGGGATTAACTTGGGATACTGAGAGAGATTTGTCAATGTTAAAACCTAATAATTACAGTATGCCAAATAAATTAACTAAGAGAGTTTTGCTTGCTGAAGTTTCCAAATGTTTTGATCCACTAGGTTTAGTGTCACCCCTTACTATAAGAGGGAAATTATTAATACAGGAAGTATGGAAACTTAAATGTGCTTGAGATGAAATTCTACCTGAGGAATTCATTAACAGGTGGGATGAATTAATATGTGATTATGAAAAAATTCCAATGTTGGAGTTACCATGCCAGGTGGCCAGTTCAAATGGGAAAAATGTACTCCACATTTTTTGTGATGCTTCAAAATTGGCATATGGAGCAGTTGATTATCTTCAGTGTAATAGTGTTATTTCTCTTGTTATGTCTAAGGCTAAAGTGTCTCCAATTAAATCATGTACTTTACCTCAGTTGGAATTAACAGCCATTTATGTAAGTGTCAAATTAGCTAATTATATAAGAAATAAGTTGCAGGAGATAAATATTAGCGACACTGTAATTTGGTCTGTTAATGAGGTATCCTTACAATGGATTCATAATCTAAACAGTAAAATTGTGTACGTAGAAAACAGAGTCGCTGAAATTAATCAGATGCAAGAGAAGTATAATAGTTTGGGTCAGCATTTGTTAACATTTAATCATATTCCTGGTGAGGAGAATCCAGCTGATTTCTTGTCTCGAGGTTTACCTTATGCTAAATTTGTAAATGTTGTATCATGGTTTAAAGGACCAAGCTGGTTGGTAATTAAAGTTAATTGGCCTGTACAAAAGTTGTATATTGCTCCTGTTGAAATTACTGTGACCACCACTCCAATAGTTTGTCCTTCCTTAGCCATTGATATAAATAGGTATTCTTCTTTACCCAAACTAATCAATGTAACTAAGTTGGTGTTTAAATTTCTAAACAAGATGAATATTTCATATAAGTTTTCACATCCTCTTGAATATTGGATAAAGAGGGTACAAGAAGAAATCTATGGAAATGAGATTAAATTGATGATGGAAAGAAAAATTGTGAAAGGTTCCATAATAGAGAAATTGGGGCTGTATTTAGAGAACAATGTAATTATGTGCAAAGGTAGGTTGCAAAATTCTGAACTGGGTGATTATGCTAAACACCCTATCTTACTGCCCAAAACTCATCATCTAACAAATTTGATTGTTCTAAATGCCCATAAAAATGTAATGCATGGTGGGGTACAAGATACCTTAAATTGTATTAGGGAAACTTTCTGGGTTCCACAAGGACGGCAAAGTGTAAAAAGGGTGATTAAATCTTGTGTAATATGTTGCTGTGTGAATGCCAGATCCTATATGCACCCAGGTCCTCCACCATTGCCAAATGAGCAATTTGAGTAGTTTAGCAACGAACTCAGCCCGGCCACAGTGTGGAAAATACTGTATATATTTTCCAGAAATACAGTAGTTATATGTAAATAGATGGCCATACTGTATTTAATAAAAATTGTTATAAAAAAGGGGAAGAATCCTGCGCCTGCGCAGAAGAGACTCGCCATTGTTGTTTGAATTTGGATTAGAAACGTTAGTGTAATGTGAAGAATTTTCGTGCTCTAGAGGTTAAAATTGTGCTGACAACTCTCAAATAGGAGGCGAAATTGTTGGATATCAGGCGACTGGACAAGACAGCTCCAGGAACCTCAGATAAGTCTGTTTATGTTTGTAGCTCTGGCCAGTGTTATTTTCATGGATAGACAGTGAGGTTTTCTGAGTATGATACACCTTAATCTCCAGTCAATTGGTGAGTGATATTAAGATATATTCTCCTTCTGTTGTATAAATGTGTGTATAAATATCATTAATTTTAATATACAGTCCACAAATTTATACATTTACCAGAATTCCTGGTGATACATATTTCATTTGTAATTAATAGGTCTAGAGCAACTTGTGGATATGACAGTGGTAGGTATCGAAGGGGGACATTTTTTGTGACCTAGGTGTCCCTAATTCCTACTTGTCTATGTAACTCTGATAAATAATAATTATCTTTGTTATTTACTGGTATGTACATTATGAGTTACATACAGATAAATGAAATTTTCCACACTATCTCTACACCTAATTACATCATCATCTAAATATAGCCCTAATTTATCTATTATTGAACGTTTAACAAATTTCTCTTTTAACAACAATCTAGTTTCTTCTCTGTTCATTTATTAACACAATTATTAGATTATAGCAATAACATATATTTACTGTTCCATTTATTTTTTTAATTATTACATGACCTCCTGCTGTTTTTAGAAGATTAACACCACATTTCCTTATCAAACCCTTTACAAATGTAGCATAATAATCACTCCCTATTAGAAGATTTACTGGCCCCACTGAGTCATTATTTACACAAGAGGCTGCCAATTCTACACCATGCCCAGCCCTTCTAGGGCAGGGTAGGTGCCTGAGCCCGAGCTTGCAGCTCACAAGACTGCCATTCCTATTAGCCCCCTTGGGGCGGGGATGGCAGACCAGAGAGGCCTAGCTTCTCCCTACGAGCCCCGTGAGGGCGGGGAATGTGGCTAGGCCTGGGGACAGTTGGTCCCTAAGATGAGGGGGTACTTGTGCCTCCTCCCATGGAAGACTTGGGTCTCAGACACTCCCTAGCTAGGGAGCCAAGGCCGGGCCACCAATTGGCAAAGGCCTGGGCCGGGAGAATACCGGCGAATCTTAAAAAAAAAAAAAAAAAAATTCTACACTGTTTTGTGAAAGCTCAGTAGCTTCACTAAACCCTATTGTAGAGATTTTCTGTGGGAGTCTATCAACTGTAACTGCATTGATACGTTTTTTCTCATTGTCCAAGCTGACATTTACATACACAGTGTCGTACAACTGGGTCCTTTTATCTGACAGAAAACCAGATAATTTTAGATTTGTAGGATCCTTCTTCTGCACTTTCATACCGTTAAGACAGCTATGTTTTATGAATGTGTGTTAAGATCCTTGCTCCAATAATGAAGTTACATTTTTTTATTTACATCTTTTATCCCAAATATTTTCATCACTGGTAAGACTACTTCAGTTATGCTATCATCATTAACATTAGTAACTGTTGTGTCAGGCTCATCAACATTATTATTATTATTATTATTATTATTATTATTATTATTATTATTATTATTATTATTATTATTATTATTATTATTATTATTATTATTATTATACAAACTCTTACACATCACGACATGATGCCTTCCTTTGCGGCATTGATAACAATTATTAAGTTTGGCATAACAATTCTCTACATTTTGACAGCTTAAACATCTGATACATCTGTCAAGTTCTTCTAACCTTTCCACCTTGTTAACATCCCATGAATCATAAGCATTACAATTCTTTCTAATTTGAAAAATTTAAGAAGAGACCTCAGGAATCTCCTTCATGGCCAGTTTTTGAGTACTTAGCACCAGGAAAGACCAGCATGTATATTATTATTATTATAATAATAAAAAAGAAGCGCTAAACCCCAAGGGCTATACAGCGCTGCCCATGTGTAGTGGAGAACCTCTGCACTGATACAGATTTTTATTCATATTTTTTGTATAATGGTAATTATATTATTCGGGCAAGTTATATATTTAACACAAGACAAAGTTATGGATTAATTTTGGTGGTAGGTTGTGGCAGCGGTGTTAGTGTTTGTGTTGGTAACCAAGCAACAGTGACAGCTGCTGCTGCTGCTGCTGCTGCTGCTGCTCAACACACGTCTGCTGTTCCACTGTGTCTGCTGACTTTACATCTGCTTCACAGTTATTGCGGTTAAAAATGGTAAATGTTTTACAATTGTGTGCTGTTCCACGAAGAAAATACTATTAAAGTTCCGTGCTGGAGTAATTAAGAGATACTGTAGGCTGAAAACTGGCGGACAGGCCGGAATATTTCTGCTAGACATATGCTGTGTAGGCCAGGTGTGCTATATACATGTAATGATATTAAAAAAAAATACTAGAATGTAAATTTCTAAATCCGTGTTATAAAAACCCGGCAGACAGATATTGAGATACAATATTATAGAACATTACTCTGCCTCTCAAGGCCATGATACAAGGAAATGGACCTATTCTTCCTTTCTTTGGATCGAACCTGACTGCATTCCTTTTTCCCAGGGAGTTGCTTGCACCCATACGGGTTTACCGCTCTTTACAAGAATGTAGTAATAATAATAGTATACTTACTCATCCGTCTGTCCAAGTTGGAAATAAAAACATTTTTGAAATACTGTGTTACTGTATCATAAATGACGAACACTACTGACTAATCTATCGAATAATGCAGTTAGAAAACAGATTAAATATACATCTACCTGTTATTTACTTATTTGCATATGACTACAATGTAATATTACTATTATCATTGCTACTATCACATTAATAATGTTAATACTATTATTACTACGTCTACTGTTACTACTACTACTGCTGCTGCTTCTTTTACTACTAGTAGTAATTAATAAAATAATATCATTGATATTATTACTATTATTAACTATTGGGAGCCAATGATCTGGCTGACACAGCTCTCACTTCACACGCTGAGAGTCAGGGATCGATTCCCGGCAGGGGTGGAAACATTGGAGGCGTTTCCTTACACCTGTTATCCTATTCACCTAGCAGGTAGTACCCGAGTGTTAGTCGACTGGTATGGGTCGCATCCTGGGGATAAGACTGACGACACTAACGGAAATAAAACAGACAAGTCTCTTGATGACGCACTGCTTTTCTTGGGTTATCCTGGGTGACTAACCCTTCGGGGTTAAAAATCCGAACACAATCTTATCTTATTATTACTGTTATTATTATATTATTTTTTCTAACTTTACCTGGCGGGGGTCTACATCAATAAATATTATGAATACACGTTTTTAAATCCCCAGGTAGATTAAACATGCTGGTAGGCAGCTATGATTTGACATATCGCCAACACTGTTTTTCTCTGCGTAAAGCTTTATATAGTCAGCTTCTTAAAAGCTTATTGTAATGATGCATCTTTGCTTCAGGATATGTGATACTGTGCTTGCCTGCCCTCCACACCAGACTGATGACACCATTTGACCAGAGTGAACGTTTTGTCATTTATCCTGTGACGGTCCAACGACCTTCCCTCCCACAATCTCTTTTGATAAAGTAGGTCGTGAAGCTCTGCCTGGAGCTGGCGAACACGTCAAGAAATTGGATAATGGAGATGTAGCGATTATAAAATCTGTCTCCCGGGTTAAAGGCTTAATGACATTGAAATAAACATTTCATTGCTAGGATGCCGGAATCTATTTTTCATTAAAATTAGTTGCATCATCTTTTATATCGGTACCGTTCCATCCCTAATATGTGTGTATGTATGTATGTACTCACCTATTTGTGGTTGGAGGGGTCGAGGCATGGCTCCTGGCCCCGCCTCTTCACTGATCGCTACTAGGTCCTCTCTCTCCCTGCTCCATATGCTTTATCACACCTCGTCTTAAAACTATATATGATTCCTGCCTCCACTACTTCACTTTCCAGACTGTTCCACTTCCTGACAACTCTGTGATTGAAGAAATACTTCCTAACATCCCTCTGACTCTTCTGAGTCTTCAACTTTCAATTGAGGCCCATTATTTCTGTGTACCATCTCTGGAACATCCTGTCTCTGTCCACCTTGTCAGTACCTCGCAGTATTTTATGTAGTTATCATGTCATCCTTAACCCTCCTGTCCTCCAGTGTCGTCAGGCTGATTTTCCTTAATCTTTCTTCGTAGGACATTGCCCTTAGCTCTGGGGCTAGTCTTGTTGCAAACCTTTGCACTTTCTTTAATTTCTTGACATGGTTGACCAGGTGTGGGTTCCAAACTGGTGCTGCATACTCCAGTATGGGCCTGGTGTACAGTCTTGCATGATTCCTTACTGAGGTATCGGAAACTATTCTTAGGTTTGCCAGGCCCCCATATGCTGCAGCAGTTATCTGGTTGATGTGTGCCTCAGGAGATGTGCTCGGTATTATACTCTGGCTCTGGTGGCCTGGTGGTTAACGCTCTCGCTTCACACGGCGAGGGCCTGGGTTCGATTCCCAGCCAGAGTAGAAACATTGGACGTGTTTCTTTCCACCTGTTGTCTATGTTCCCCATCAGTAAAATGGGTACCTGGGTGTTAGTCGACTGGTGTGAGTCGCATCCTGGGACACTGACCTAAGGAGGCCTGGTCACAGACCGGGCCGCGGGGGCGTTGATCCCCGGAACTCTCTCCAGGTAAACTCCAGGTAAACCCCAAGATCCTTTTCCTTGAATGAGATTTGTAGTCTTTGGCCACCTAGCTTATACTCTGTCTGCGGTCTTCTTTGCCCTTCCCCGATCTTCATGACTTTGCATTTGGCTGGGTTAAATTCGAGGAGTCAGTTGCTGGACCAGGCTTGCAGCCTGTCCAGATTCCTTTGTAGTCCTGATCCTTATCCGACTTAATTCTCCTCATTAACTTCTCATCATCTGCAAATAGGGATACTTCTGAGTCTATCCCTTCCGTTATGTCATTCGCATATACCAAAAACAGCACTGGCCCTAGGACTGACTCCTGTGGAACCCCGCTCGTCACAGGCGCCCACGCTGACACCTCGTCACGTACCGTGACTCGTTGTTGCCGCCCTGTCAGGTATTCTCTGATCCATTGCAGTGCTCTTCCTGTTATGTGTGCTTGATCCTTTTAGGTTTAGCACTAATCTCTTGTGAGAAACTGTGTCAAAGGCCTTCTTGCAGCCCAAGAAAATGCAATCTACCCACCCCTCTCTCTCGTGTCGTACTTCTGTTACCTTGTTATAAAACTCAAGTAGGGTTGTTACTTAATTTTCCTTCCCAGAAACCGTGCTGGTTGTCATTTATAAGCTTGTTTCTTTCTGGGTGCTTCACCATTCTCCTCCTAATAATCTTCTCCATGACTTTGCATACAATACACGTCAGTGACATTGGTCTGTAGTTTAATGCTTCGTGTCTGTCTCCTTTCTTAAAAATTGGGACTATATTTGCCATATCCTATACCTCAGGTAGTTGCTCACTTTCAATGGATGTGTTGCTTGTTAGTGGCACACACAGCGTCTCTGCTCCCTCTCTAAGGACCCACTGCCTTTGAGGTATCTAGTATGTATGTACATATGTATACCTGGGGTATACCTGGAGAGGGTTTCGGGGTCAACGCCACCACGGCCCGGTCTGTGATCAGGAATCATGGTGGATCAGGGCCTGATCAACCAGGCTTTTACTGTTGGCCGCACACAACCCGATGTATGAACTACAGCCCGGCTGGTCAGGTACTGACTTTAGGTACCTGTCCAACACCCTCTTGAAGACAGCCAAGGGTCTATTGGTAATCCCCCTTATGTATGCTGGGAGGCAGTTGAACAGTCTTGGGCCCCTGATACTTATTGTGTTGTCTCTTATCGTGCTAGCGGTGCCCAACTGTTCATCGGGGATGACGTTGCATCGCTTATCGAGTCTTTTGCTTTCATAGGGAGTGATTTTCGTGTGCAAATTTGGTACTAATCCCTCTAGGATTTTCCAAGTGTATGTAATCATGTATCTCTCTGGCCTGTCTTCCAGGGAGTACAGGCCAATGAACTTCAAGCATTCCCAGTAATTTAGGTGTTTTATTGCACTTATGTGTAAAGTGTATATTTTCTGTTCATATTCTAGGTCAGCAATTTCAGCTGCTTCGAAAGGCGCTCTTAGAGTGCAGCAATATTCCAGCCTAGATAGAACAAGCGATCTGAAGAGTGTTGTCATGCATTTGGCATCCCTAGTTGTGAAGGTTCTCATTATCCATCCCGTCATTTTTCTAGCAGATGCAATTGATACAATGTTGTGGACTTTGAAGGTGAGATCCTCTGACATTATCACTACCAGGTCCTTTACATTAGTTTTTCGCTCTGGTGTGTGGTTGGAATTTGTTATACCTGGAGACCTGGAGAGAGTTTCGGGGGTCAACGCCCCCGCGGCCCGGTCTGTGACCAGGCCTCCTGGTGGATCAGCGCCTGATCAACCAGGCTGTTGCTGCTGGCTGCACGCAAACCAACGTACGAGCCACAGCCCGGCTGATCAGGAACTGCCTTTAGGTGCTTGTCCAGTGCCAGCTTGAAGACTGCCAGGGGTCTGTTGGTAATCCCCCTTATGTGTGCTGGGAGGCAGTTGAACAGTCTCGGTCCCCTGACACTTATTGTATGGTCTCTTAACGTGCTAGTGACACCCCTGCTTTTCATTGGGGGGATGGTGCATCGTCTGCCAAGTCTTTTGCTTTCGTAGTGAGTGATTTTCGTGTGCAAGTTCGGTACTAGTCCCTCTAGGATTTTCCAGGTGTATATAATCATGTATCTCTCCCTCCTGCGTTCCAGGGAATACAGGTTTAGAAACCTCAAGCGCTCCCAGTAATTGAGGTGTTTTATCTCCGTTATGCGCGCCGTGAAGTTCTCTGTACATTTTCTAGGTCGGCAATTTCACCTGCCTTGAAAGGTGCTGTTAGAGTGCAGCAATATTCCAGCCTAGATAGAACAAGTGACCTGAAGAGTGTCATCATGGGCTTGGCCTCCCTAGTTTTGAAGGTTCTCATTATCCATCCTGTCATTTTTCTAGCAGATGCGATTGATACAATGTTATGGTCCTTGAAGGTGAGATCCTCCGACATAATCACTCCCAGGTCTTTGACGTTGGTGTTTCGCTCTATTTTGTGGCCAGAATTTGTTTTGTACTCTGATGAAGATTTAATTTCCTCATGTTTACCATATCTGAGTAATTGAAATTTCTCATCGTTGAACTT